GGGGGGGGGGGGGGGGGTAAAACAACATGACGGGGTCCCTGTTTTTGGCTCTACCCAATGTACAGACAAAATGCAAATACATGGGTTGACGGGGTCCCTGTTTTTGTTTGTTCCTTGTTGTTGTTGTTGTTGTCGTCGTGTAGTCCTGGTAGCCTAGTCACGAGTACTTGTACCAATGCTAGCACTAGTACTATTAGCGGTAGGAGTTGGTGGCACTGGGTGGCAATGATGATAGTCTTCGTGATAAATGCGGATGTGACCGTGGCTGCTATGCGTGAGACCTTTGCCATCGGTGCGTTATTTGTGCCCACTACTATAGCCCTTGTGGCTATTGTTAGTGGTGTTGTTCATCTTGCGGTAGTGGTTGTCGTTGTGTGTGCAGCTGCAGCTGCAGCTGCAGCAGCTGCTGCTGCTGCTGCTGCTGCTGCTGCTACCGTTGCTGCTGCCGTTGCTGTTCTTATTGTTCTCATTGTTTTTGTTGTTGCCACCATTGTTGCTGTCCATGAGCAATCCAGAGACGCTTTTGCTTATAGTTTGCGAAGTACTACAATGACGCCGTGGGGGGGGGGTTAATGATGTCGACGACGCGCATTACTTCTTTATATCAGGCCAACTCTTCAGAGACTCCGATGCTGTGCGAGGATTCAACCACGACTTTGTCCAGCTCACAGGTTTCCTCAGTGTGCAGGGTTTGGGAGGCTAATTATAGCCGTTTGCTCAGGTCTTGTGCGGCCGTGCTTGGCGCGGGGCCTAGTTGTCAAACTGAAAAAACACTGCCAGGCTGGACATTTGTTTTGCCAGAAGCCACATTGAGCCCCAAGAATCCCAAGCTCCCGTGCAAATCTGCGACCGAGGATGCCGATTATTCGACAAAGACATCACTGCCGTTCTCGCCTCAGCATCGATGTAACCATGTTTAAGAACTTACAGCGGCAATGGTACAGTTGCAAAGAATGATCCGGTTTCGAGTATTCACACTTTCGCGGCACAAGCAAATACTGATCGGAATACTTATTCTCCCCGTCCTCCCCTCCTGACTTTCCAACATTCTCTTCCTTATGGTCGTCGTCGCCATTAGCTTCGTCATCGTTGTCATTGTCATCCTCATCCCTCTGGCCATCATCAGCATCATCACGGACGACATCAATATCCTGGTCAGCATGATCATCGTCGTCAACGCTTCATAATGGTCTTCTTGGGCCTCACCTCCCTTGCCACGGTCGTTAGAAGTGGCAGTGGCAGAAGAGGGGTAGGAGGTATGCAGAAGGAAGAAGGGGAGGAGGAGGTACCTGTAGGAGTACAGTACGACGAGTAGGAGGAGCATCAGCAGTATCAGCATCCGCGGCCGCAGTGGCAGCGGCACCGGTTGTTGCGTCAGCAGTAGCACCAGCCTGTTGGAGCAGGAGACCTCCAGTCATACCAGTGGTAACAGTGCTGCAACTGCATCGTCGGCTTGGCCATGGTCGTCGCTGCAGCCCTTCATAGCGCAGTCTAGCCTGCCATGAGCCGTCAAGTATTCAAACATTCAAGCCTAAGCAGGTGCCTGCGGCTCCCTGGTTTGCGGCCAGTGCTCCTTCTGCCCGAACGGTCGCAGCAGCCGACGTTGTCTGCCGCCTGCTCAGAATCTAGTCTGCCTTGGTCCGAGTCACGGTCCGCGTTATTCAATCATACGGATTTCCTAGATTCCTAGAATACGTTGACTCGTAATGCTCATGACACCTAAGCTTGTACCGACATGGCGTCCCAATAAATATAGTAGGCCCTAAACCCTAAACCCCAAACCCTAAACCCTAAACCCTAAACCAGTATAGATCCCCAAAAGAAGAAACAGCGCCCAACGTATGGCAGAGCTCAGCCAGGCGATGTGGAGTCGATTCTTCGCTGCAGCGGGAAGCTCAACGCACCGGTTCAGGGCCTTAGGGGTTGGGGTTGAAAGTTCCCAGAGACTCCAATATCCCTTAATTAAGGAATATACCTTAAGTCATATTAGGGATCCTACTATAATTTAAGGTATATTCCTTAATTAAGGGATATTGGAGTCTCTGGGTTCCTCTAAGGAGTTATGAGGAATACTTTAAAGGTACTAACTATCGGGCTCTAGAGCTTTAGATGGGAAGTCTGCCTGCACACAGATGCTGTAAGAGGGACTCGTTAACCCCTCCATTCCTTTCCAGGAATTCCGTTTATCAGCTGGCACAGGTGGAATGGCAGCACTGCCAGCATGAGCTCCATGTCCATGTCTGTGGAGCTCTCAGCTTACCATGGGGTTCGGTGGAATTTAGTTACGGCTGGGAGTCGAGTTTCACATGTTTCAGCTTTTTAGTGATTTTAGTGGTGAGGGTTCAGACTTTAGGGCAATCAGCTCCTCTGTGGGGGGCTTGTCTTTGCTGCCAGGCTTCCGTCATCATGACGCCGAGAATGCAGGAGTCCTTTGCACAGCCCTCAGCCTGGAGTACCGGTCGGCCACCGCGATATATGGTTATTTTCCATACTATAATACGAGACTATTATACTAGACTATAATACTATACGGCTATACTATATGATAATGCTATACTATTATACTTTACTATAATGCTATACTATGTTATACTATAGTCTTATCTTAACATCCTCGCGTGTGCTAGGCCACCACCGCGGCAGCGCCGATTGAGCTCGGAGCTCAGCATCGTGCATATATCATGTACTCTCTATTCTGCATTCTGTATTGTAAGTTCGATGTAAATGAGTGTCATATTTTATACAGGATACTTGCCTGAACCCGCATCCCTCGCCCAGAAAGTCTGGTGAGCTGCCTAGTTTGTCAGTTTGCTAGCCGTGGGGGCACCACTGAGGGAGAAGCGACGCTTGCCGAGTCTGCCGCCGAACTCCGAGACGGAAGGACCTGGCATGTGGGTATCGTATGTGCATGCTGTAGAGCTCTGAACAATTCGGTAAAAAAGGTACCCCTCTGAGTAGTCCCTGTATAGCCAAAGCACGCAAGCAGCATGGCCCCTGCATGTATTATGAGCTCTCCGCGTTAGCTTTGCTTCCCTTTCGGATCCCACAGAGCGGATTGGATCAAAGGGGCGCGTCACTCTTATGACGAGGATCCGCATAGCAAAACGAGGATGCAGCAAGTAGCTCCAGGTTATAATTGAACCAGGCTGCTTGCTGAAGGCGCCGTTCAGTGCCCGCGACAGACACTTCGACAAGTTTTGGGTCTCGCTCTCTTTCCAAAGCATGGTTCCCGGAGCTCAATGATGCAGGTGAGCGCGCGAGACCGCAACCGTGATAGATTGACATCATAGGGACAATCCTTTCGCGTCCCCGCACAGCCCCAGCCCACCCACGAGAATAAGCTTGAAACTGTCAGCTCGAAGAACTTGCGGCTGGGCCACATGCGGTAGATCCCTACCGCGTTGTGATTGTGTTCTCACTTCTGGTTTTGACGATGCTGTTGGTGGGCTGCTGCCTGCTGCTGCTGCTGCTGCCGCCGCTGCTGCTGCTTTTGCTTCTGCTGCAGCTTGTCGTGGTGTGGTGTGGTGGCAGTATTGCGTATTGCCATTGCTTGTCTTTGTGGTGTCGACCTGGTCGTGGCCTCCTTAGCAGAGCAAAAGATCATCATCTCGACGCCGCTATGAAGCGCAGGACTGCTCCTTGCGCAGCTCCAAGCCGCGCTGGCATGCGCCTCAAAAGAGATGTGGTTGCTTTCCTTTTGAGACGCTTCCCAATGGGAAAAGGAACCCTAGTAGCCCTAAACCCTCTCATGGAGCAACTTGCCCTGCTTTGCAGGCTCCAAAGATTCGAGCGCCCATCCCTGTGCAGCCCTTGGTACCTGTGCTGCGCCGTTGCTGTCAAAACTCTTCGAGCCTTGCCCGGATGGCTCTGCAACCCTAAATTGCTCTAAGCCCTGGAGCTGGCCAAATGAAGTTTCGATTTCGGAAGTCGAGAGGTCACCTCCTAAATCCTAAAGCCGTCAATCCTGAGCCAAACCCCTTAAAGCGTTAAGCCTAGGTCCCAAAGGCTTTTTGGCCAAAGCCTCGGGCAGATCCCATGTGAAAGCTTGGCGAGGCATCGCAGCCAAGTGAGCGCGAGCAGAGGCAGGAGCTTGGGACATGGGCTTTGGGACGACCAATTCTATTAGATGATGATAATAATCTAACATGTCATAATATAAGATAATGCTGTGCTAGGTCATGTTATGTTATGCTGTGTTACATTATATTGTAATTTATTGCGCTATATTATAGTATGATATAGGCTACTGAATTTTTTGGTATTATTCTTATATTATATGATGCAAACAACAGATAATCGGCAATCGTAGAGAGCACAGTTGAGTCCTTTTCATCAAGATGGATGAAACGTGGAGTCTCATTATGGTTCCTTAGGAGCCATGTTAGTTGTGTCTTTCATTTTGTCCGGACGCCAGAAGTGACCATTAATATTGAATGCGAGAACAACCCGCACGCTAGGGTTTCGGAGACTTTTGGCTCAGTGATTAAGTAAGTATGTATGTAGTGTCTGTATGTATGTATGTATTATGTGGTTGTCTGTCTGTATATGTATATGTATATGTATATGTATATGTATATGTGTATATATATATATATATTTATTTATTATTATAATGTATATATATATATATCTATACATATACCCCCGAATCACACAATTTGGGTATCCCTGAAAACCCGCCAAGACAGCGCCTTCAGAGGCTTTGGGAGCGCGTCGTGGCGGCCGAGAAGCGGACGCTGGAAGCGGAGGCCGAAGGAGGCCGGCACCTGTCATGTTTTGCAGTGTTTTTTTATTGGTTTAGGGTTTAGGGTTTATTTTTTTGGCGTAGCCAGCAGGTTTTTATCATTTTTATAAAAGGTTCCCTTTTGAAAAGGTGGGTTTTTTGTGGCGTAGTAAGCAGGTTTTGATCATGTTTAAAGGTTCCCTTTTCAAAGGTGGATTAGAAGGTCTAGGTTTTATTCGGGTTCGGGCTGTTGGTTCTGTGAGTTCGGCGTCAGGGGCTGAGAGCTGTTAGTTGGGGTTTAGGGTTTCGGAGCTTCGGGGCTGTGGTGTTTATGGGATTCACGGCTTGCGTGGGCTTGAGTAGGGATTTGCAGGTTTAGCGCTTCTGAATGCTTTCGAAGGGGGTCTGAGGGATTTGGGAGTCAGCTAGGAAGATGGGTTCATGAGGTCTTCTTGGATGTTGGGTTTCAGGCACTTGGGATATAATTTAAATTCAACCATGTAGTTCAACATACCATATTGTAGCATAATGTAATATGTTGTGATATGATATGACAATATAATAATATAACCTAATGTCTACCATGATATATTAAAATGTGCTATGATATACTATAGGGTTTCGGCGTCAGCCTCCCCCTGGCGCTCCATTATAGTTTCTGTTTTTGGTTTACCCGTTGTATGTTCAGGATCCTAGAAGATAACCCCCAAAAGGGAACCACGATGCAGACTATAGGTAAAAAGTGACACGTCCACATAAGGAAACCAGGATCTCTGAGAAGCGCACGCTGAAAAGATACTAGGTAGTTTTCGGGAGACCCCTCAAATGGTGACCCCTCTTTACCCTACATATGGCTCTCTTAAAAGGGACCTTATTGAGAGGGTCTATATCTTCAAGGGTCCCCCTAATCCTAACTCCTGAAAGAGTAGTCCCCGTGTCCTACAGACCCTGAAGGCTTCCATCCCCAAGCGCGACAGAGTTGAACAAAGCTACCCGCTTTGTGGTCTAGGGGTCTAGGGGTTTAAGGTCTGTAGGGTTTAGGGGTTTTTTAATTTAAGGCTTTAGGGTTTAGGGGTCTAGGGGTTTCGGGTTTCCGGTCCAAAGCTACCTGCTTCATGGCTTAGGGGCCTGTTCCTACTTTGAGAAAGCTGCCCTCTCATCATTGAGCTATAGAGCCCCAATATGCTCTAGGGTGGGTTTTTCAGTTTTCCCCTCTGCTCCCCGTACCCGAGACCCGAGAGCCCAAAGCCCTGTGAACTTAGACTTAGACCTTTGGCGTCCTGGAAATTCATCCCTCAACCCAGAACTTAGACTTAGACCGGGTTTAGGGTTTAGGGGCTTAAAGGGGTTTAGGGTTTAGGGGTTTAGGGATTTTAGGGGTTCATCCCTCAACCCCCCAAAGCCGAAGTCCGGAATCCTCTGATGGCGTGGAAGTGCAGGTTTCCGAAAGCTGGCTCAGCTTCTGCGAGGGGCCCCAGGGTTGCTTTATATGGGAGTTTCCAAAAATTAGGGTACCTTAGTTTGGGGTCCTTATAATAAGGGTCCTACTATTTAGGGTACTATATTAGGGTCCCCTATTTTCCGAAACTCCCATATGGGGTTCCTACAGAGTGATGTGGGGCCTTGGTTTCTTGCAAATCCGGCTTTTGGGGTTGAGGCATTGTTGGTTTCATCGGGGGATCGGGATGTTTAGGATTGTGGTTCTATAGCTGCCAAGAACCTGGCACAAGTTGCAAACTATGAGTATGATAGAACACATGATACTATTGGTAGTTTTTTCCACCTCACATACAGCATCGTGACTGAGCATCTGGATTCGGACGGGCTTCCCCAAGATTCGGTCCTGACAGGTTTGTGTCACCCAGGCTACTTCAGACATCTCGCTTTCGCACAAGACTGAACACTTTTTTGAGTGCGTAGCGGCAGGAGGCGAAGTGAAACTGGTCTCGCACATCGAGTCGAAAACGTCTCAGACGCGCGTCGCTCGTACATGTCACTCCGTGCAACACATTCCACTACACGACAAAACCTTAGTAGGGTTTGTGACTCCAAAGGCCAATCCCCGCAAAAGCTTAAGATGCCCGAACCCGTGGAATTCCTTTGAGCCCAGCAGGGTATGTCCTTGTGCACCACTTCACGACAGCTATGTAACGGCATGCTAGTTGACTATTTGTCTCTATTCTTACACGCCCCTGAGATACACCGACAAACACAATCCAGACATGTTCGATATGCGACGACTGGTACTAATAAAAAGAATAGGCAGGTCAACAGATGGGCAGATGCAAAAGTACACACGCCATCAGGGCATGAAATAAACAAGTAGTAAAGCAGGCATGTGCGCATGCACATACACGATGCACGTAGATGCATGCATACATGAAAATTCCGGTCCCTATCTAAGCCTTACTGCAGAACCTATACCTGATAGACCTACCAACAAGCAGGCTTCAGGCTAGAGTCTAGAGTAAGATATGCATTGTCCATGCAGCTGAGGCTTGGGAGGCTGCTCGCTTTCGTCCGGTCCCCAGCTTCCGAGACAGTGCACGCGTAGCCAAATCTGGAGGCGAAAAGACGAGGAGGAATGATAGTCCTTGGAGACATAACAACTAGAACAGCACAAGCCATTTCAAGATGGATAGCGATAGTAGCTGTAGCTGTACTCACATCGGTCATCGTCTCGGTAGAGAGATTCCGAAGTCGTTGGCTGAAATCTGCCCGGGACAGATACAAGTCACCCCGAAAAGGGCTGATGGTAAGAGGGTTGCCGGATTGAGGGACTCGTCTAGTAGGTGGTTCAGGTCCACCCAACGAAGGTGCTGGAAAAAACCCACAATCCCAAAGCTCGAAACCCCAAACCCTAAAGCCTCCAATCCCCCAAGAAACCCCCAAAAGCCCCAGACCCCGAACTTAAGCCCTCATTGGGAGGTCTCAAATCCCCCAAGAAACCCCCAAAAGCCCTAAACCCCGAACTGAAGCCCTGATGCAGGTCGCCCGCCATGCCTTCTTGGTGGCTGTCTTCTTCCTGGGAGTCACGTCTCATGCGGGGCTCGGGGGCCCTGGCTTTGGGCTTTGGGAAGCCTTGGAGGCTTTCGCGACTTTAGGGTTTTAGGGTTTAGGGTTTTAGGGTTTGGGGTGCAGGGTTTAGGGTTTAGGGTTTTAGGGTTTGGGGTGTAGGGCATAGGGTTTAGGGTGTAGGGTTTGGGGTGTAGGGTTTAGAGGTTTAGGGTTTTAGGGTTCGGGGTGTAGGGTTTAGGGTTTAGGGTTTTAGGGCTTGGGGTGCAGGGTTTAGGGTTTAGGGTTTTAGGGTTCGGGGTGTAGGGTTTAGGGTTTTGGGTTTTAGGGTTTGGGGTGTAGGGTTTAGGGTTTTAGGGTTTAGGGTTTGGGGTGTAGGGTTTTAGGGTTTGGGGTGTAGGGTTTAGGGTTTTAGGGTTTAGGGTTTGGGGTGCAGGGTTTTAGGGTTTGGGGTGTAGGGTTTAGGGTTTAGGGTTTTAGGGTTTGGGGTGTAGGGTTTAGGGTTTAGGGTTTTAGGATTTGAGGTGCAGGATTTAGGGTTTGGGGTGTAGGGTTTAGGGTTTAGGGTTTTGGGGTTTGGGGTGTAGGGTTTATGGTTTAGGGTTTTAGGGTTTGGGGTGCAGGGCTTTGTGTGTAGGGTTAGTTGCAGCGTAACCGTCCGAGGAGTGAAAACCGCAGTGTTGTCCCCCGCGTGTTCCCGGAGTAGCTTTTGTTCCTAATGTATACACCCAAGACCGCATTTCAGTTGCTTAGGCCTCTAGTTCGATTGAGTCTTTGGTTGGTGCTTAAGCCCCAGGGCTTTGGAAAGGTCTGTTGCAGCAATTTAGAGAGCTGCTTCTTTTAAGATCGTTCTGAACTCCGAGTCTTTGTGCACTCCGAGGCTTCAGCAATACGCGCTCTCCCTCGGGGGAGAGAGGCTCGCCGCCCTCCCTCGCAAGCTCTGCCTTTGACTTGTCTATGGTGATCCGAGTGCCGATCATCATCCCTTGAAGTTGAAATCTGAGAAATCTGTGACCTCCCCCTTCAGGTTTTCAGCCTACGGAGAGCACTTCTTCATCTTCGTCGTGGCTACCGCTGTAGCCGCGCCCCCAGGATTGCGGGACGCTATGACCGCGTTGGCGATGATGGCGATCAGGATTGCGATTTTGAAAACGATTGTGACGTCGAACATGGCGATGGGTCCCTCACCACCACTGGCCCCTTTTTACTGTCATCGGTGTGGTCATCCAGGTTGCTGCCGGCATACCATGACGCCAAAGCGCGAAGCCCTAAAGTGCGAAGCTCCATCCCTAAACCTGCAGATCGAAAGGTCCAAAAACCCTAAACCTCTCGTCTGAGGTGCTTCTGCTCACAATTTTCCGACCTGCGCCCCGGTCGCAGGAACCTTCGGTGGTAGATTCTCGGAGAGGTTCGGGATGAACACATCGACAAGCACGGAGCAGGTTACACAAAAGGGGATCATACTCTACTCTCCTCTTCCCTAGTGTCCTCTACTCTCCTCTCAACTTCATGAGTCTCATGCGCAGAGGCCCTTGTACTGTGGGACCACTTCGCAGCCGAGATCCGAATCCGAACCGTAACATCGGCTCCCGTGAGGCTTTTTTGCTAGTGCCCTGTGCGCTTTTGTCCAGCGCGCTTCGGCGCTTGCTCCAAAGGAACGCTTCAGGTCTCGAAGTTTAGGGTTTAGGGTTTAGGGTTTAGGGTCATAAAATTCCTTTACCAGGGTTTGCCAACGGTTCTCGTAATGCCGCTGCGTTGTGGTCTTCATCCAATACGGCATTTACATACCTCTTCTGCGGTTGCCGGGAAGAGGACGTCAGCTAAGACAAATATATACCTTGATCTTCTACGTGGAGTGCTGTTGTCGCTGAACGCATTTCTAGTCAGAAGAACCAGCCCCGATTAGATGGCTTCAAGTGTATTGCTTCAATGAGGCCTTAGCCCCCAATAACCCTAGCAAGTCTGAGGTGTATTCCTTAAATGAGACCTTCAGCCAGAATAACAATCCCTGGTAATAGTCTACCGTATATTGTTTCAAGGAGACCTTAGCCCAAAACCATAGTTTCAAGCCCGATATGGATAGAGGTGTAATTCTCACTTGAAGGGGTGGGCTTCTGGGTGCTTGTGGGCTCGTAAAGTATCGCATTGATACTGGAGGCTTCTCACGTTTGAGGGCGTGGAGTTTGGGGTTTAAATCTAGCTCCACGAAGCCGACAATTTCGCTGCAAGGTTCACATGACAACATCCAACATCCAACATCCACACCCTAAGCCCTAAATTTCTAAGCCTAACCCTCGAGCCCATTGTTGAACTATAGTGATGTTCGTCAGCATTCCCATGCTTGCCCGAGGCCTCCCTGTTGGTTTCAGCTGTCACCCTCTCCGGTGTGGTCTGGCTGCTAGCTGGCGCCTCAGGGCCCATGTGGTGATTACAGAAAGTGAGGGAGCTTAGTATATAGACCGTATAAGACACTAGTAGCATCCTTAACATAAATACACAGAAACATCTTGAGAGACCCCGTGTGGGGTTGCATTGCAGTATCAGAGTTCATCAGGGACTTTCGCGCTTTGCCCTTGTAATGAAGGGAATGCCCGAATAAGAGCAACCCTATGGGGAACCTTTCCATGTATCTGCGACTGAAGCCCTAACTCTCCCAACTAGGCATGCTGCGAATGCCTTCAGGGAGCCCCAACCTTCAAATTCAGGCAGTGTGAGCTTGAATCGGCCACAGGGCTCTGCCTGTGACGAGTTCGAAGCACAAGAACACTCAAACAGCGAAACGACTCGTCGAAACCCAAAAAACACCCGAGGGAAGCAACCTCCAATTCCCACTTTCCTCTGAACCCGACACCTGTGCCCCTTTGCCATAAAAATCGAACCCCCGCAAGCCCCAACTGCGGGTCCGACTTTACCCCAAACCCCAAACCTTAAACCCCAAACCCTATAAACCCTAAACCTATTCTTCAGTGCCTATATTGTCAGTAATTTTGTTACACGTTCTGAGGTCAGGACGTTTAGCCTGGAGGTGCCTGACTCGCCTTCCTTGAGGCAGAAGCGGTCTTGCAGATATTATGTTATGTTCCTGTTTTCCATCGGTTTTTGCGTGTCCGACTTAGGTCCTACTTGTTGCCCGCGGTATTGCTTGGACAGTCCATGGATTGTGGTGTTTTGTTATGTTGTCATTGTTATGGTGACCGTTGTGATGCTAGCGATGGTACAAGTACTGATGGTGCTTCCGCCGAAGAAGAAGATGGCGGCTCTGACATCATGACAGCATGTCGGAATTCGTCATCGTCATCGTCATTATCATCATCATCATCATCGTCATCATCGTCATCATCATCATCATCGACGCTACACGGGCCGCTTCGTTTGACAAGAGATGTTTCCGGGATAAGGCGCGAAACCCGAAGCGCCAAACATGCCAATAGATGCAAAGATAGCTCCGAGCCAGACTGAACCGGTACTTCTCGGTACAGCTGAGTATGCCTGCTCCAGCCCTTCATCCCTGGCCAGTGGCGACTGGCGCGCGCTGGCATTTCCAGTTGCGGTGCTCCATCTTCCAGGCCAATGTTGGGGTGCAAGAAGTTCTTGCAAGGTTCAGACGGACAAGACCGTAGAAGTGCTGCCCATTGCGAAGTAGACGTGCTAACGTAGTCATAGCGGATCCGAATGAAGATGCTCTCCAAAGCTTACATCACCCGCCAAGCAGTTTGTCCCCATCGTGTTTGTTGCATTTTTTCGAAGCACACTTCAAAAAACGCTTCATGCAGTGGCCCACGAGTCTGAAAGACACCCCTGCAACAGTCTTCCGGTACCTTTGATGCACCCATATGCCTAGCTGTTTTTTCACCAACCCTAAGCCTTCATCTCAACCTAGAGCCGCCCCGAACAATATGAAACCACAAAAACCTGTATAGGTTTACCTACATATACACCCATATTTTTATAGACCTGTCTAGACCTTATAACAACCGCTGTACGCCTAGAATATAAACCTATGTGAACCATATGAACCTTGCAATCCCGTATAGCCTTACAAACACCTTGCACAGCGCTGCACAAATCCTGTGGCATCTGCGGCTTGTACTAAGCCCGGGAGAATCTTGTAGCACGATTTTCAAACCCTCTAAAACCCTTAAGGGGCGCAATCAATAAATAGACTTTCCGAGCATTACCTGGCGCGAGGCTGGTCGACCACTTGCTTTCTCCTGGGCATCTCTGCTGCCACCTCGGGTGCCCGGTGTGGGAGGGTTTGGGACTTCGGGTTCAGGGTCTAGGGCTTCGGGGTTTAGGGTTTAGGGTTTAGGGGAGGTTCCCAAAGCACTACCACTATGAGCCCTAAAGCGCTCGAAGTTTCCCAAAGCCACCCACCCCGCCCCCACCTCCACCTCCACCCTGTCGGGTTTCGGATGCACTTTGACCTTCGGCTCGGGGCTCTGAGCTTCGGGCTCTGGCCTCTGCTTCTACAGTGAATCCAGAAAAATCAGGGGAGCATGGGAGTAAGGATGATTCGTGCTGGGATTCCTTTTTGCTTCTTACCCTGAGGATCATGATGTTCCAACTTCCTGGCTTCTGCTGTAA